CGCACGAACCTCGCTGCATCCGCCTTCTCTCTCTCTCTCTCTCTCTCTCTCTCTCTCTCTCTCTCTCTCTCTCTCTCTCTCTTTTGCCTGCGTCGCTCCAGCACTCGACCGATAAGCAAGAACAGAGTCTGGCCGATGAGGAGGCTTGCGTCGTCCGTGGCGCGTGTGTGCATACCTGCTTGAGTGTGTGCTTGCGAGTTCGTGTATATCAGTCGACTGACCGATGGTGCCAACGACAGCTGGGGGTATGCGCCAAGGTCGTTGGGAAAAAGCAGTCCTGGAACCGATTTCCAGCAAGTGTTGCTGCTCCCCACTAATGGAACGGAGCCGTCTGCATGCGGGGTACGCTAATGGAGGCTGCTCCCATCAGGCATGCTTTCCCAAAAAATAAAGAAAAGAAGAAGAAGCAAGGATCCGTATCCATTACCAGGCACCTGCCAAAGCAGCCAAAATATAGCGCTGAGGAGTGCGTCCGCCGAAGCGAAACTCAGAAGTCTGAGGGCATACTCACACCAGCACGCATTTTCACAAAATCGTAAACTGTAGGTGATTTTTATTTATTTATTTTTTTTATACAAAAAAGGTCATGCTCGTATTAGAGATAGACCACTGGATCCCCCGATTGGCATTTAGCAGAGTCTGCTGATGTTCATAGGGGAGGGGACCTGAGGGGAGGCACAGGGATTGGTCCTGTTGGCATGGTCCCTGATGCTGCCGGCTGTCCCCTAGCCGGTATCGCCCACCTGCAGGTGGGGAGCAGCCCCCGCATGCTCTCTCGTGAACACGGTTCTGGCTGCTACGGGGTTCACCGTATGCCTACAATTAGGAGTAGTGGTAGGTAGTGTGAGGTGAAATTGAGAGAAGAATATAGCTTTGAAAAAAAAAAAAACAAAAAAAAAACACCAGGAGGCCGGGAATCCCTCCACAAACAACGCCGATGCCAAAGTCTGGGACCATTACCCAGGTTAGGTATAGGCATTGGTCTATTAGTCCAGGAGCAGAATATGGCCAAATTTAGACCGCTGTTTTTGGCCTTGTGGACTGGTTTGTTCGTAGGTGATTTTTTGGGTCACAAGGGCTACGCCGCTACGTGTTTGCTTTTTCACGCAAATGGGCACGTAAATGTCAGCAGCTCGCGGGGTTAAGTATTTTGCAATTGCGTATTTCTTTTAGACCTGTTTCTTTCTGGAAACAAAAAAAAAGGAATTCAACTAACCAGGTCCACTCGGTTGGTTGGAATTTTTGGAGACGCTGCAGTAGGCACATAGGGGATGGTGGTAGAGTGGCTTGTTACTCGGAACAGAGGTTCCAACCGGCCGAAATTTGGGCCGGTTTCAGACCGAAGTAGGTCTGTGAATAGTATAGGTTTAGGTAGTGGGTGGGACGGAAGTAATGCATAGAATAGAGTCGTTTGGATGAAAAGCAAGTTAAGTGCGGCGGTCTGGTTGAGAAGAATTCACACAGCTAAACTGGCTGATGGTGTCAGGATAACTTCCGCGTTGAATTGTGAGGACCCTGGCCTCAATTATGATTGAATAAGAATGAGATAACAATTAAAAAAAAAAAAAAGAAAGGAACTCAACCCTTGGTGGGCAGCTCTCATAAACCACCAGTACCTGAGATAACAATTAAAAAAAAAAAAGAAAAAAAAAAAAGGAATTCAACCCTTGGTGGGCAGCAGCTGTCATGAACCACCAGTACCTCGGAGCCTGTTTTTGCCTACCCTGAATTTCACTGCACTCCGAGTTTGCTGAGCCTGGGTACCACTCCGTTTTCTTTCTGGTACTCTCACGGAAAGAACAAAAAAAAACAAAAAAGAAGAAGAAAAGTTAAGGCGGTGAACCTCAGAAAAGAATAAAGAAAAAAAGGAAACACAGCTTTGGCCCTGATTGCAGTTGTATACATTCTTGGAAGTGGTAGTGTGAGTGTGCCCTCAGTGAGGGCATCTCAGCCCCCTGGCCAAGTTGTCAGATTCGGAAAAGAGAACAGAAGGTGCTCGAGATGTGGACCATGGGCGGTGCGCTATTCACGCGAAGCGACGGTAGGGCCTGTGCTTCGGCCCGGGCCCGCGGTTTGTCTTCGGCTGTTTAGCGATGGTGGTAGTCTCTCTCGGTAATTCCGAGACTTTGTACTACATGGGGCTGGTGGCGAGGCTGTCAATGAGAAGAGTTTTCTCTCGGTAACCCCGAGAGTAACATCTTGTGTCTCGTGTGGCGGGTCTTACTGGCATGTGAAGACCAGTTGACCGCCCCCAGGGTTAGAGGAGCCGTCGGAGTGGCCGTCGGAGTGGCCGTCCCTTTCGTCGAAGCTTGAAGAATGATGAGGCGAGATTCCCTTATGGGTTCCGCAGGTTCTGCAATTTCTGCATCGTTCCACATTCAGAGAACGTTTCCGAGACGTCTGCCTGGTTTCAGGGAAGCTGGATCTCCACGAAGTTGACTCATGGCACGGCTATGGTCAGTTAGTAAGTCGTTGCCATGATGCTTCATACAAGTGAGGGTACGGTATTTCCCCTAATCTGTTAAACGTGGGGGTCTAGTATTCGAAGTCCCGGTTAATTGAAGCCTGTGTTTGAATGTTTAGAATAGGTAGTCGTTTGGTGTGTTGTTTAGTTATCTCTCTTTTTCTTGCGATGACGTCGCAGGGGGTTACCCCTGTTCTGTCCTCACCGCCCACGGTAGAAGATACGGTAAGGATTAATGATTTATTGACCGCATGCTTTAATGATGGAATCCTTCCGTATAGACTGGCGCCGGGAACAGTGACGGTAGGGGAAGACTTTGTCAAAGTGGCAGTCAACCCTGATGTAGCAAGAATTCAACTGGAATGGTTGAGAAACCATGCTTTTTCAAATTTTTTCAAAGAAGAATTCTCTTCCTTGCCGGTGGATGTTAAAAACAGACTCGTGCAAATTTATGAAAATGGGTGGGCTGCATCCGGTGAAACAGGGGGCGGTTCCTAAACGAGGACTGTTTAGAAACGAAGGTCGTAACTTAGTTACGTACGTTGCATCCGCTCAGCAAATTGCCGCTTGGATGATCTTGAAGAAGGAAGATAAAATCAAAATTGATAACGTGACCCACTCCATTTCTTTCAGACCCTGGATGTCGGAATTGGAACTCAGCGAGTGGAGGGAAGCAACGAAGCAAGAGTATTTTTGGATTTGTTGCCTCAATGTCCCTGTTGCGGCGATGGGGATTCTGAGGGGTGTAGTGGAGGACGCGTTTGGAGCGGTG